AATCATTGGTTAAGATTTATTTACAACAGAACAGCACAACCCAGATGTTCGAATTTGTGCAACGCATTTTATGGACGTTTTTTTAACCTAGAAGAGTACCAGGCTGGCTGTGCACAAAGGCTATTTAAAAAAAAATCAGAAATCATAGCACGTCAGCTGTCTTAACCGCGGCTTGTGTACAGAGTCACGCGACTCTGTTGCCCTTTCATGCTTGAACTGATGGTAAAACTAACGATATTATTAACTGTCTTGAAATTTACTTTGAAAGCTGAAGCTGCGATTATGGTAAGGGGCGTTACATTTCCGACACGTGCTTGTGGTGTTCGGCCAATCACAATGCACTGGGTCAGCTGGCCAATCAGAGCAGACAAAAAGGTTTATCACCTTTAAAAAAAAAAATTTTCTTTAGAAACTCACTAGAGAAGATTCAGAATTGTGACTTTTGGGAGTTTCATTCTGATGGATACGTAAACCAGATAAAGTCTTAAAAATGCAGTCACTCAACTGGAGATCTTATTAGCACACGCCTGATAAAAGATGACATGCAAAGTATTCACCTTTAGTGCACTATTTTTTTTAAATTCACAGTACACATTTACAAACGTTTCATTTTAGCAATAAGCAGTTCTGCCACACAAAACATAGTGTAGGCTACCAAGGACAAAAATATATTGATATTTGTCTAAGCATGTAAGCAAAAACTAAACATGAGTGCAGTATTAATTTCTTCCCACTATCTTGATCTGTCACCAGCTGACGTGAAGTTTAGCTCGAGGATTCCTCGTCCCCAATATACCGCAACACATACGCGGAGCCGCACAGGAGAACCTGACCCGCCAGTTTGGCCATGTACATGAAACACCGCAATAAAGACCTGAAGAAGGAAAAAAGAAAGACATTTCTGAACGGTCACTTACCTTTTAGTACAGTAACAAACGAGGTATAAAGCTGTCACTGGGGCTGTACCTTTTTAGAGGGTAGCCTACTAATATGTAGAGTTAAAGTACTAATATGTACCTTTAAGGTACTGATATATTTACCATTTAAGGGTAAACAAGGTAAAAAGATATACCTTTTAGCCCCAGTGACAGATTGTATCTTTTTTCTGAGTGTTTACAATATTTTTGTAACATAGTAATCCCAGATTGCTCTTTGAAGAACATCACTGTTAATGGGAAAACATCTGTATTAAATTATAGATGAAAGAAGCATTTTCACTAGTAGTCATACTTTTGGATTCAGCTGTATGTGTTTGTATGATTGTCCAGACAAACATTTCTAAAATGATCATTTGAAGCCTGGCATTAGGAAATCCACTTTTTATGGTGAACCTCTTACTTGAGAAAGTACTTGGCTCTGGTGCACTTGATGTCATATGAGAGTGTGTATATTTCATAGAGCGTGGCTTTAACGGTGAGGCAGCCCAGAAAATCCTTTGGGTTCAGTCTGTACAGGTCGAAGCTCAGTTTGGCAATTCCGCTTCTTCTTGGCTGCCTGAAACTTGGCAGAACCTGTCAAATGTGCGTTGAGGGCGGAACAAATATCTGTGAGACAAATCACTGATTGAAAGGAGCGATAATGTCACGAGAGTTCAGGGTAAATTCAAGCCTGCACCCTAGTGGAGCAAAAACACAAGATTGTTTCATCAAAAATAACTCTAGTACAGTCTAAAAAAATGCTGGGTTAAATATAACCCAGTGCTGGGTAAAATAGGGACAAGCCCAGCATTTGGGTTGTTTTGACCCAGCATTTGTTAGAGTAATGATGAAATAACAAGCTTTAAATAACAAATGCTGATGAAAGTTTCCAATCTTGTTAAGAAAACAAAACTGATAAATGAAGCAACGCTTGGGATCTGGTTAATCAGCTCTAGGAAAAACAATCCTGATTAGACTTACAAATCTCTTTTCACTGCTTGCCAAATACGCACAGTTTATGAAACATAAAAATACAGTTATTTAAACCATAGCTACCAGATTATGACAGCAGTAATTGGTTTGACTCAAGAAGTATTGACACAGCTGATAAATAGTATACTGTTCACAAAAACTAGTATGCATACTGTCAGCTGTGCTTTACAGAAATTCTCTGTAAAAAGTGTCATCAATCATCAAATGTGCTTTTTCATGAAATATGGCATAATTAACATAAAAATAAGAAATACATAGAATTTAAATACAAATATAATCAATGTGATGTGTTACACATCACTTGAATGACATTTTACTGTTTATTACTGTAAATCAGAGATTTCCGAACTTCAAATCCATTTATTTCAAACTTCAAGTACAATATGCAAAGTTTTAAGGGAATATTTTTTAATAATTTAACAACACATTTGCATGTTCGTGGTTCTTTGATGTCGGTTAATGGTCACATGATATGCAGGCAAATAAATCAAATCTTTATTTATTTATTTTAATTGTCTATTCATTTAATTTTACATTTTTTTTTAATAACATTAAGAATCTTGCGGACCTCAAAGTGCTGAACATTAGTGTAACTCCTAAACAACCCTATAGGCTAGAGCAGTGGTTCCCAACCCTGGGCCTTGAGGCACCCCCACCCTGCACATTTTGCATGACTCCTTTCTCTGATGCACCAATTTCAGGTCTTGAAGTCTCTACTAATGAGCTGATGACCTGCATCAGGTGTGTTTGATTAAGGAGACATGCAAAACGTGCAGTGTTGGGGTGCCTCCAGGACCAGGGTTGGGAACCACTGGGCTAGAGTATGAAGCGTCGTGCTTTACTAAGCTCCAGAGATCTGACCTGCTCAACGAGGTCTGCTAGAGAGCTGGCGGTGAAGCCTTTCCTCCTGCGGCGGTTCTGCGTGCAGACCTTGTACGGACGGGGCTGAGGAGGGGGCAGCATTCGCTGGGCAAGAGACGTCTGCACTGATGACACAGACCTACAGCACCACATCAACACACCATCAGAGCTGACACTTTAATATGGCACAGAGAAAGAGTGGTTAACATCAAAACTAGACCTGCAATCTCACGATAGTCCAAACACTCACTGGGGCGATATTCTTTTAAAAGGTACTGATATGTACCTTTAATGTAATATGTACCATTCTGGGGTTAGTCTAAAGCTACAGCTTGTTGAATTATAGAAATTAACAGCTTTATGAAAGGATTTAATGGACAGCGGTGACCCAGGCAATTTGCCACTGACCGAACAATTTTGTTTGTTGAGATTAAGTTATGGTTATATAAACAGGAAGAGATCTGTTTACTGCATCTGTTATTGCAGCAATAATGCAATGCTTGATAAAACACAAGTATATTGCAGTACAGATCACTTGCACATTAGTTTTACTGTATTTCACTTACAGGGGTTTAATTCTTTGATTTGTGCATGAGGAATTTTAAATTAAAAAGGTAACGCTTTAAAATAAGGGTCAGTTTGTTGCATTAGATATCATAAACTAAACTAGCTTAATGCTAATTCATAAATACATTAATGTTCTTTGTTAATTTATGTTTGTTCTTAATAAATTGTTAATGTATACCATTTGAAATGTTAAAAATGTATTAGCATATGTAGAAATTAACATTTATAAGATTAATGTATGCTGCATTGTTTATAGTTAGTTCATGTTATACTGTAAAACATTTCCTTACATTTTTAATTATAAGCACAAGTACAAGTAATTTCAACTTAATTAAAGCTGACTTTAAAAAAAAAGAAAACAACTTGTATAGCTTAAAAAATCAAGTTGAAGTTGTTTAAATTAATTTTATGAGTTAAAATAAATTTTTTTTAAATGCTGTCATAACAGTAATGTTAACAAACTGAACCATACTGTAAAGTGCTACTATTAATTTATAGAGTAAATACAATTTAAAATAATGCAGAGAATTTCAAGCTTGCATTTACACAAATAACCAAAAGACTCCCCAAAAATCCTGCTGACCTCTAACACTAAAGCCTAAAAATATTAAACAGTGTCTTACCTCATTAGAGATGTAGGAACTAAGGTTTTCGCGTACTCCATACTTAAGATGTTAAAAACACAGTCGCTGAGCTGTAACTGAAAACACTAATGCTCTGAGCAGACTTGTGACCCGCAGGAGGAGTTTGTACTGATGCCTGACTAGTGAATAAATTCATTAATAAAATAGGCCTAACTCATTATTACAGTAGCATATGGGAAAGTTAAGCTGCCTTGCTCTGTCTCCTATTTCTTTCTATTAAAGTCAGAAAGGGTCTTGTTCCAAAGCACCCTAAAACAAAACTGTGTTGATAAAGAAATAGCATTGTTCAAAGGTCTGTATGCGTGCTCAAACTGACAGCGAACACAACCACGCATCAGTGGATGCAGAAGATTAACAGAAGCCCACAAGAGGGAGCAAAAACCTGGGAATTCAGTGGAATATGGCTTTTGTAGATGTGATAAACATTTGGCAACTTAGGCCTGAGACACACTAGACGATTCTCAAATCACAACTGATTTTAAAACCATGGGAGACCACAGACATGAAGACAGTGTCAACCGATTTTTAGCCTTATGATCCTCTAAATGAGACCACACACTTGTTGATTGGAGGAACGATTTCGCAGTGAGATCAAACGTGACTCTAAAAGGAAAACACATGGAGGACAATCAACGTTGTCAGCTGGCTCTCCTGGCATGCATTCTGTTGAACATTGAAAAACTAAATAGAAAAAAAAGAATATGGGTGATGTTCTTTCTCAGTACTCTCGTGTTTGTGGCTGCCAAGATTCAGTTATAGAAGCATGCAACATCCGGTAGGTGACGCTTGCTCGCTCTCTCTGGCTATCGCAGGCATCATGTCAGAAGAGCCTGATCAAGTGTTTTAAATATCAAACATGATTTGAGTTCGGGGACGCTCCGTCTCAATCGGGAGCAGTCCATTAATCGTAATGACACCACACAAACGAGGATTTTTTTGGACAAAAAAATTGTTTGCGACAAGCCTCGAATCGGGCCACATTTCCGTCCAATTTTGAACCGATTTCTGAGTCGTACGACTCTTTTATTTTGAGTCGGGATGAATTTCAGCTTTGTCGTGCGTCTTTTGACGTGCAGTGAACAGTGGGTAACAAGAGCCGATTAGACGTTCCTGACCGGCAATCGGATGGTCAGATGAGTTTTTGACATGTCAGAAATGTTGGTCGCCCCATGTAAGGGTATCGCACAGTTGAAGCAGAGCTATGAACCGAACCAGAGTGTTTTTTCCCTCACTGCGCCTGCGTGAAAACAGAAATGAACGGAAGCGATGGAGGCTACACAGTTCTTACTTGTTTATTTCATTCGTATAGTGTGAGCAGGCAAGTTGCAGCTCGACGATCGGACCGTATAGTGTGAGCACATAAATCCTGAGGTTTGGCATTACATCTCATGCGATTTACTCATACAGCGAGAGTTGGTATTTATCAAAAACGTGTATGCCCAGCCTTAGGCAATGCCTGGTCTCTGAAGACTTAGAATGTGAGGATCAAACCTCTCGATAAAGTCAGTATCACAAATATTCATACGTATTTCCACACGTTATATTGTAAAATATGAGGGAAAACACATTTGTTCTCTTGTAGTTAACCATTTAATAGACCTTAATCAGGTTAGATGCCACACTCAAAAATGCTGGGTTAAATATAACCCAGCGCTGGGTTAAAAAGGGACAAACCCAGCAGTTGGGTTGTTTTGACCCAGTGGTTGGGATCAAAACAACCCAACCGCTGGGTTTGTCCCTTTTTAACCCAGCATTTTTTAGAGTGCATATTTAATTTAATGCAGACAAACAGTCTTTACAATTGCACACACTTTATAAAGGTCCTAGATCATGTAAAGTCGGGCATACATTGTGCAATGTTTTCATTAAATATCAAATCTAACTTCATGGTTATTTCAGAAAAAAAAAAACATGCATTCCCAGGGGAAATACACTGAAATACACTGGTGGCTGCAAGGCTAATTTGTTGCCTCGCTGCCTTATCAGGCAATGACTTTGCATAACGGTGAATAATGAGTGAATAATTAATTACTATGATACTGATTTCTTGCTAGAAATAACATCAAAAGTGTAAAAATTTGGTCAGAAACATACATTGACCACCAAACACCAAACGGTATGTTGTTAAGCAACAGTACAATACATTCAATACATACTTTTTTTTTTTTAAATAACTTTTATTGTATGTGCCTGTTTCACAGAAGAAGAAAAAAAAGTAAAATCAAACAGGTTTGTAATGGCATGAGGTGAGTAGGCTCATACTGCGTCCATCAAAAAGCTTTCATGCTAAACATTTATTGTTGATTTGCATTAGTACAACATAGTCCATGGCATTAGAGCACAGTAAAACAACAATACATTGTGATTAATACAGTAAGCTAGTTAAGATTCCTTCCAACCAGAGAAAACATTTCCCCAAACAAAACACATTGCAGATCACTAGGGATTTCAATGGATGTCATTATTAATTATAGTTCGCACACTTGCTGATTTAAAAGGATATTGGATAGCTGGCCAATCAGAGCACACCTCGCTTTTTCAGACCGATGAGCTTTGTAAAAATCGATGCGTTTCAGTACAGTAATGTACATTATATGGAAAATAATGTGTTTTTTTAACCTTAAACCGCATAAACACATTGCATTTTTCCAAATACACAAAAAAAGTTTTTTTAAGCAACGTCATATGACCCCTTTAATATCTTGTCAATTAAATCTACAGGGTAAAAGCAACAACATTCATATGCTTTTTACCTCTGCAAAGACGAACTTTGCATCGAACGGATAGCTGAGCTCTCCCTCTTTGATGGCATTGACAGACGTTGGGCCACATCGATAAAGACCTGTATGGGACATGTAAAATAACATATCTATAAACTTGGGTCAAAAGGTACTTCTATGGTACTTTTATGATGTGGCAGAAGACATGATACCGTCACTGGTCTCCTGAGGGGTGCAGTCGACCACCTGCCAGCCAGAGAAGTTTTCAGGCAGATCAGGCCTCTTCATGTACATCTCATTCCAGCAGTGGTAGTTCCTGTGAAATATAGAATTGCAGAATTGCATCTAAACATATTACTAACCAACCTGACAATAGTATTATATTGGCTTCATAGTATATCATAAATATTTTTTTTCACTCTATAGTGAAAAAGCCTACAATGTATAAGTCTGCATTTACACTGGCACAAAAAAATTATTAATTAATTTAAAAAATTGATTTTTTTACTCACATGTGACACAGATCAAATATTGTTGCACATGTGTAAATAAAAATCTGCACGAGATCTGATATTTCACATCCGCTCTGAGCCGCTTTAACCATATCTGGACATCTGACCTACTGTATGTCTCAACACGTAAATCCGATTCTCATTGGAATTCCAAGCCATCACAAGGCCAGTGAGACGCATTTACCCACAAAGATAACTTTACTTTGTCAAATTATGAAGCAGATGTTGCCTGTATGCACTCAAACAAAAACTGTCTCATGAATTTAATAAATAAAATATCTTTGCTACATTATATTTTCAGCAAAGTGATAATAATGTTGCTGTTTTTTGAGTAATTAAACTCAGCTCTAAAGCCCAGTAGATAAAACAACTTACGAAAACTGCTCTACTCTGTTCAGACAAATTTTGCATTGCAAACATCAATGACAGTTGTAACTTGTTCATGTCCATGCTGGTAAGTGATCATGGTATAAGTGGGATAATCTCAGCCGGTGTGCATTAAAGTCATCATTTTCATTTACGGCCGTTCAAAACCCAAGGGTCAACTGAGTCTCTGAAAGTGATCACCAATGGAGCTGGTCTAGTTTGGGAGGGGATTCATGTAAACGCAGATATCAGAGTCGTGTCTTAAGTGAATGTAAACAGATAGGACAAAAAATTGGAAATGGTCAAAAGATCAGATCTGTGCATTAAGCCTTGCAGTGTAAACACAGCTTGTTATTTCAACCAAGGCACCAATTTTCTGCAATACAGAATTGTGGACCTCTTGGATGTAATCTTGTTTAGGGAATCTCACCAGACTGAATCTTTTGTTCGGCTTCTGTCAATTTTCCCATCTTTGTCCAGCACAATGTCTGTCTTCACGTTGCCCGTGTTGTCATGAGCAGAGAAGTAATTGGTGATGACCCGTGCAGGGATCCCAAGACAACGCGAAACTGGGTTGGGGGTTGAACGGTTGTTGCAAAAAATGACGTAGAATTTTAATGTTCACATAATGTTTTAAACTATCATGAAGAAACATTTTTAAACGGACGCCCCATAGAACGTGTCATCGCCATACTCACAAGTGTTCATCACGCCGGCAAACACCCAGCACTGAGCAAAGCACACAGGCTCACAACCCTCACTGGCATATTTGAGCAGGATTTCAGGACTTCCGGTCCAGGCAGTGGGTGCTGTGCCAGAGGAGTAATCACCACTCCAGTTGCCAACCATGACACCTTTATCGTCTTGGGCGTTCAGCTGAAAATATACCACCAAATATAAAATGATTACTTGTTCATGGAATTGTCCATACTTTAATTCTTATTATCAAATCATACCAGAGCTGATCCTTGCCGAACTACTTCAGTGGCATTTCCACGGAACAGTAGCGGTACTTTCCCAGCATCCATTACCATAAGACAGGCATCCAGAACCCCCTCTTCAAACTATAGTAAACCACATAGGATGTTAATTCAAGGTGTCCAATCCTGTTCTTGGAGGGTCACCTTCCTGCAGAGTTTAGCTTCAACACTAATTAAACACACTTGGATCAGCTAGTAAAGGTCTTATAACTTCTCATTGACTCGGATGTACCTCATGGCCTATGTTGCATGAGTGCCCACTACTGGCAGAACCCATGCAATGGGTTGAATTGGAACATCCTAAGCCTTTGCTCACTTGGAATCTGCAATGGTGATGATTTGCTATTTACATGTTATTATTTACATTGGGGAGGGGGTCAATTAAGCACAATTTGCTGTGTCACAATCATGTTGCATTGTGATATATTGAGTTTCCTGAAGTGTACATATGAGTAGTCTTGCTCCCTCAGTCAAAGGTGTTTAGGATCTATCCGTATAAATTTCCCTCCTCTAGATAAAGTGGAAAGTACCTCAAAATGGTAGCAGGGATTTCCCAAAGGGAAAGTGCTCAGGGAAGTATGTCTCAGAGTGAAGTGGAAGGATGTTTCTCAGTTGGAAGGCTGCATCCTAGTGAGGCTGTGTCCTTAACAGACCAGTCTTTCTCAGCTTCTAGGCTTGAGTTCTCCTCAGCATTGAACGCTAGAATGAGATGGTCTAGTAAGTCCCAGTGGCAACGTCGTAAAGGTTAAACGTTATGGGTTCATTATGAAGCTCAATGCGGTCTCATTTTACGTCTTTGTTTTTTTATGTGTGTGTGTGTGTGTGTGTGTGTGTGTGTGTGTGTGTGTGGTTTGGCATGTGTACAAAGGACTGTGGGTAATTGGAAGACACAAAGGATACACTTGATGCATCTTACAAGGATCATTCAAATTGAGATGGGCTTCTACGGAACTTGATGGTGTGGCAGCCGAGGTATGCAACCTTACTAAGATGCAGCTTTATGATTGAGAAACACCCCTATAAATTTCCAGGCAGGTGTGTTTGAGCTGGTTGGAGCTATACTCTGTAGGAAAGTGGCCCTCCAGGAGCAGGATTGGACACCCCAAGGTTAGACTGTATATGGGCATGAGCTCAGTGGGAGGAAATGTTTGGTTACACTTTATTTTAAGGTGTCCTTGTTACAGTGTAATTATACATATAAGTACTGAGTAATATTAATTAACTACATGTACTTATTATATGGTTAGGGTTAGAATTTGGGCTAGGCTTAGTGTTGCTTGCATGTAATTATGCATTGTTAATTGCTATTATAATAGTAAGTACATGTAACATGTGTAACACGGACACCTTAAAATAAAGTGTTACCAAATTTCTTTATGCCTGATGTGAAGAAACATCTCCAGAGTACTGCCAACCTGCCCAAAGTTCCATGAACGGGAGGATATGTTGTTGTGTTCTCCATTGTAGACGATCCCCACATCATTCATCACATACTCCTGTCTGTCTTCCTCTTTGTCCATGTACACTTGATCCGCTGGGTAGCAGCACATACAATATGCATGCGTCATCACATGTGTAGTAAGATAATAATGGTCCAGAATCCAAGCAAATGTACAGACTTATCAAAGGTCCGTTGTTTGACAAATTCATGCTATAAATATTAAGGTTTGTTTCCAATGTGTTACATTTGTACTCACCAGGGTCCCAAGGATTGAACAGCACATAGAAATCAGTGTCTTGGTTCCTCTGAGTGCGCTGTCTTCCAAAATCAGTCACTATTGCTACAAAGGTGCGGAATCGGCCGATGATGCAGCTGGCGTTAGGTGTTATGCCCACTGTCACTTCATTGCCTTGTATTTCCACCACACGACCCTTCCAGTGCCTGTTATGTTTCCCTTTTCCAATGGACACAGTGATGTAGGTGCCCTTGTTATCATCAGGTGAACTGCCTGTGACGAGCAGATATTTCATATACTGCTTCTTCATTACAGAGGCTTTATGTAGTTTGTCATTATTACTAAATGCAGAAGCTCACCAATCAGGAACTCCAACTGCACATCATCCTGCTCTGCACTGAAGGCCCGGTCTAGTTTGATGATGATGGTGAACTCTTTATTCCTGCGCACAATGAGACTGGAACTCTTGAACTTGTCCGTGTAATGATCTTTTCTGTTCTCCGGCACACGCATGTCAACGCTCAACACAGAGAGACCTGCAGCTTTTATTATTTTTTTAAAGAAGACTTACTTTAACAAAATGTGGCAAATGTTTGAATATTTTATGTGCAGAATGGCACGCATAAATGCAAACATGAGTACGACTTTACCTTCATCTAAGGGTCCCCTTGGGCTCAGAACATCAAAAGCCTCATACTCAAGTAGGTTAGACTCATGTGAGTTTGAGTTGTCAAGGGAAATACGGCCGTGTTGTTCCCAGGGCTGCCCAAGTGACATGATGTGCACAAAATGTCTTGGTGTTAGCCTGGATGACAGATGATTTTAATGTTAGAAAAATAAAGCCATACAGACAGTCCTTTAGGTAGGGCTGGGAATCAACTCCTTGCTTCCAAGTCGTTGGGAATCGACAAGGAATCAAGCAAGAAATTGATTTCAAAAGTTGGGGAAAAGTTGCCTTTTTCAGTTCAATAGCGCTAATCGCAAACCGGTTCTTTTGGACGGTTAATTTCAATTAATCGGTTTTAAAAAATGATTGCAGCCATTATTTCATGCTGTCACGTACATATTTGTCTGTGTCACAACTACGTGTCATGGTATGTCATACTGAAACAGTTAAACAAAGCCATATGTGTGAACGCATATTGCTAATTATTTACCTTTAATTTGCTTTTAATTTGAACCTAAAACACACAATTCAGACACAACGCACAAACGCGAATTAGTGATGATTTAGCTTAAAAGGTGAAACTGGCTTGTCTGCTGTCCACAATGGAAGGTTTTGAGTGACGCTTTGGACTACATAAAGAGATTATGGATGCTGATAGTAATCAGTGAATACAAAGGGAATTTGAACAGTTGATTCCAGAACCAGAAATCGGAGTCAGTTCCAAAAATTTCTGAAACGAACATCCCTACCCTTTTGAGAATACATCAGCTAAGGCATGGCAGGAGTAAAAAAAAACTCTGTGTACTATAGGTCATAAAACTAAAATAAACCGTCTTGTATATAATGCTAAAGTGTTCAGAAATCCAGTTGAAAACTGTCATTAAAAGTGTTGAACTCACGGTCTCTGTAGAAGAGTAGATGGTCTGCTGAGAAGCTCCAGGCAGATGTACCAATGAGGAGCTCCATGCTGATTGATATAGGCTCAGGACTTCCTCTTCCACTGGAGAAAAACACCTCCAAGGAACCAGAGCCGCCAAAGTCAAGAGGATCCCAAGATCAGGTCAGTCTGACACACAAATCTCTGACCTTGCTTCCGATTCTTGATGACAACAGCATATTCCAGACCATCACTAACATAGATGAGATGATAATAATAAAATATAATAGTAAGTCTTCCTATGGTATTAAAGTTATGAAGTGAGTTTAATGGTCCTTAAATGTTTTGAAGACCACTAAATCATTAATGTAAGATTTACACCCAATACATTTCAAGATGAAATTAATTGAAAATAAAGGAAAAATACTCTAAACTGATTTGCAGAAACCATTAACAATCATCAGCAGTGCACATAAATGATCTCTCAATCAAACAAATGACAGTGACATTTCACAGCAAGCATCGTCATATAAAATGTAAATACAGATGAATACATGTGGCCATTGTATTTTTAAACCAGAATTATGCATCACATATAATTCCTTCATCAGACACTGATCAGACAACAAGTTGTTTAAAAATCATTCGCTTTAGTAGCCAGTCCAAAAGCTTGGATCATAAGAAAGTGTTTTGGAACAATAACACATGCTGGAATATGTGACTTATATTTCACATCATTGTGGATATGGTGGATAGATCTGTGTATGCATATGCTGATCACTAATGGCATGAACAACTAAAGGCGTTCTTTAAAACATCAACAATATTTTACTCAAAATGTATATGTTATTTATCATACTTCCAAAAGCCAGATTTTAGTATACTCATACTGTACATGTATTGTCTTATTAAATCTAATTTAATCTTTACTGCTTATGGTAAGCTAAATTGCAGTTACCTTCAGCCAAACAGATTTTACTGTAGCCTTACTTTTGTATTTTTCTGTTTTTTATTTTTTCATGTGCAACAAAAAACCTACTCATATCAGAGTACCTCCTAAATGTAGACCTGTTCCTGTAGCAAAGCCAATGACATTAGTTTGATTCACAAGGACAGATCAAATGCAGGGTCAGAAAATACTGGGGGTTTTAGCAAAAAAGCCCTGAAAATTTAACATATGTTGTCAAAATACCCCTGGAGTTCTTGTTTTTTTGTAACATACAGACTATAAGCAATATTGCATAACCAAGAGAGCTGTTCTGTTGTTGTTGTACTGATTGCAAATATGTCAATGAAGAAAGAAGTTGTTAATTTACGTTTTAAAATGCTAATCTCATAACAGTATTTATGCACTTGTAATTTGCGTGTAAATGCATTTATGCCACCTCTGATCTGCATACAGACTTAATGTCACTTCAGATGCAGCTTCTGTGCCAAGATGGATGTTACTGATGCTGATTTCATTTGATTGTTAACTGTACAGTATAGTGTCTTATCATTCAAATGTAATTTATTGATTACATTTAAGAATTTAAAATAAAAGTCAACACATATATCTGATATGGTTAGAGAAAAATTCCTTTATAAATGCTCTAAAAATGACCATAGAAATCAATTTAAAGTGGCCAATATTGCCCCTTAATGGAATTTATTTTACATTTTTGTCAATGTAGGACTATACCTTCAATGAACTCTAGGTCAGATAAAACCTCAATTGTTATGGGAGATGATGCATAGCGGGTTGGTGTTACATTTTTATCCATATAAAGTTCAAAACTTGTGACTTTTCCAAGTCCATTTTCCTCTTTTTCTCTTGATCCCTAAAAATAATATATAAATTGATACTGATAGTACCAGCATAAGCAGGCCTAAACAATGCTGTATCTAAAAAAGAAGAGAATTTAGCTTTCTACCTCCTGTTTCCGAGTTAATTTCATAAATAAATCAATCAATAATAGCTTTTGTCTGTATATAAAATACACAATTAAAATTGTGAGTTAAAACAAACAGACTAGCAAATAAAAAATGACTTGAAAAATGAAACTGAAATATTACAAATATTTTTATTTCATTATAGAAGGTACTGACATGAAAACAGAAGTTGGAAAATATTGAATTAATATATGATTTGATTGTGATGCTTTTTAAATGAACTGTTAAACTCTATACATGAGGCATGAAAATAGAGATAAGGGTGGATAAGATGCTGTTCTTACAGGAATGTCATACCGTAATTTAGGTTCTATTATAAATGTATTTTACATAAATACATCTTGTACTGAATAATAGGAAGTGGCTAAAGGGCAAGACAATAAAGTTGTGTTGACATGAAGATTCAGGGAAGTGAAACTTGTGACGTGCTGAAATGATCGCTTTGACCTTAATGAGAAGTTAAGTTGCCCTGTTCCACGTATTTCACCTAAAATTCACTGGGTTGAGTCAGACTCTGGGTCTAAAGCAACCTGAACGCTATGAAGATATGACTGTGTGGCAATATGTTGTTGGTTCTGATTCTGATTATGGTTCAGATGAATTGGATTCACTCTCAGGATCCTCAATGGCCGGTTCACACAGTCTGCGACTCAGAAAGACTTACAGTGACCTACAGGAGCTGCGGTGAGATCAGTGTGACATACACGACTGTTCAACCGTTTGGGGTCAGTAAGATACATATCTTAAGAAATTCATACTTTTATTCATTGTGGATGCATTAAATGGACAGTAAAGACATTTATATGTTACAAAAGATTTCTATTTCAAATGGTTTTCACAAAAGATGAAGCAGCACAACTGTTCGACATTGATAATAGAGATAAAACATTGAAAATCAGAAACGTTTCTTGAGCAGCATATGAGCATATTATACTGATTTCTGAAGATCATGTGACACTGAAGACTGGAGGAATGATGCTGAAAATACAGCTGCGCACCACAGGAATACATTACATTTTACAGTATATTCACATAGAAAACAATTATATTAAATTGTAATAATGTTCCACAATATTACAATGTTTGTTTACTGTATTTTGATGTCATGTTGAGCAGAAGAGACTTCCTTTTTTCCTATCAACCCCAAGCTTTTGAACAGTATAGTGTATGAATATATATATATATA